TTATTAGAATATATAGAAGGAATTACGTTAAATGTAAAACTGCTTAAAGGATTATTATTAGACATTACAGTTTTGAGATACAGTTTATACAAATCCATTGCGGATTTAAATGTATTTTCCAAACACATTTTATCAGCTATTAACAGTCGTATCCAATTTTGGTAAAGTAATGAAACGTAGCACCACTTCTGTCACCAAATGCCACTCTACGTTTCTCTTTTGGTAGAACACAGTCTACCAGGGATGCAATATTACTAGTCTCTCAACTCGATTTAACTCTACCCAAAAAATTTTAAAAATGTCTACTGGTAGAGTAGTGAAAAATGTTGCAAAATACAGTCGGTAGAGATTGCTTATGTTGACATAAGAGTTTTGGACATCAAAAATCTTTATGTTTGTTAGTAGACAAATCTTCTATGAAGAATATGAGGTCTAGGCAGCTAAAAAATATGAACTTACATTGACTACTTTGTTCCGACTTCCGTCCTAACATATCATTATTGTCATTTCAATCAGTTGCTATCAACAAGTCCCCGTAGACACTTTGTCTCTGGACTAGCAACCGCCAGTGGAGTCTTACGTTGCCATGTTATCTATTCCTGTTGTAACTTCTACATTCTAGTATATAAAATCAAATAATGTAACTCTATTTTAATTTAACAACATTTAAAAAGATTTTACTCTAGAATTTAGTGGCTCAAAACATATACATCCAGTAAGTAATAACCACATTTTTGTATAAAACTTGGTCAAAATTTTTAATTTCATTTTTCTTTTATTAAAGTGCTTATACTTTTAGGATAGCACTGATGATGAAATATTAATTCCGAAAACCGTCTGTGATGTAGCCCAATAGGGTGATTTAATATATACCGTTTATAAAGGAACTTTTAACTAAATTTTTTAAGAGAAAATACTTTATTGCTATGTTCTGGCCCTGTAAAGGTAACTATGGATATAAGTATTATAAAGCAAGTAGAATGGTTCTTCTTCTTATGGTGTCCTATCTAATTAGTGGATGTTGGCGACAGTTCTGGCATACTCCTCTCGATCTTGTGTGGCTCTAAAGAGTGCATGGGCATCGAGGTTTGTCCAATCCCTTATGTTTTTAAGCCATGAGTATTTCTTTCTTCCGATGCCCCGTTTTTCTTCTATCTTCCCTTCCATAATAAGCTTTAAGAACTGGTACTTGTAATTTCAAAATATATGACCCAGATAAGCAGTTTTTCTTTTTTTTATTATTGGCAGCAATTCTCGTTCTCTGCCCATTCGATTTAATACTTCGACATTTGTTGTGTGATCTGTCCGGGGAATTTTAAGTAGTCTTCTAAATACCCACATTTCAAAGGCCTCCAATCGGTTCACCACATTGGCCTTTATGGTCCAGGTTTCTACACCATATAGCAGTATGGAGAAAATGTAACATTTTACAAAGCGATATCGAAGCATTAAGTTAAGGCTTAGCAAGGTTCGCATATTAGTAAATGCTGTTCGGTCTTGCTCAATCCTGCTACGTATCTCTATGTCTGGATCTAGATCTTCAGTTATCCAACTACCGAGATATCTGAACTTGGGGACCTTTTGGATGTTCTTATTGTTTACTCTTATATTTAATTGCGTATTTCGTGTTCTACTAACCACCATAACCTTCGTCTTGTCTATATTATTCTTCAAGCTCAGTCGTTCTCCTTCGATGTTTATTCTATCTATTAATCGTTGTGGCGCTTCTTGGCTATCAGCTATTATAACTGAGTAGAATAGTTAACTGATTATAACGCAACAAAAACATAATTATAATTACAGTTAGAATTAACATAGGAGGTGTCCATTGTTCACCATCGAAGACTTGAAACAATTAACTAAATTTAACAATTTTAGATAATCTGCAATATTTTTAAGAAGCTGCCTAATTGCCGTATATATTTGATTTCTTGTAATTAATAAGATATGGAAATATAGGGGTTGCTCCAACTAATTTTACAGAGAAAAGTAGAAGCAAAACGAGAACCAGGAAGGCGAAGTATTTCCTGGCAGAAAAATCTACCAGGAAAAAATTCAACACAATAACCACAAATATTTTCAGAGCACCAGTTTGCAAAGTACAGATTGCCAAGATGGTCGTCAACATCCGAAACGGCTAGGCACTACAAGAAGAAGAAGGTAATTAAGAAGAAATAGGGAAATATTGCAAACCTCAATGTTTGGATAAACTTCCATATATTTCACAAATATACATGTTTTCCTGTTTCATACTTCATCTCTATATTTTAATTTTAATGTCAGAACTTTGCTTAGTTAATGTTTTCTCTGAACCTCAATTATATTATAATTATATTACGTAAATGGTAGAAAAAAATTGGCGCTGACGTGGATTACCCTCACAAGTTTCAAGTTTCTAGTCGGAAACTTTAATATGTCAATACAAGTGCTATTGTATTGATATTTTAAACACTGACTTTATGTAAAGGCAAAGAATTTAATGCTACGTTTAAAATAATTACGGTAGCAAAATAATCTACTATAAAATAAAGTTATACGAACTTAAATTCTTATCAAAGATTAGGAATGCGGAGTTTGGCACGTAAAGATAGTAGACCTAGGCCTAGACAGAAAAACATTCCCATGAATCTAATGTAATGAAATATTATATTCCAGTTTTGTTAATTTTGCATTATAACAGGTGCATTATAAACAATTTACTAATGTACGAGTAATATCTAAGAAACAAAATATAATACAGAACTTTTGATGTTATTTGTTTATGAAAAAAACATTGTTTGAGGCCCACTGATCATATCTTAATTACATATCGGCCGTCATAGGGTAAAAGGATTATATTATGATTTTCTGCCTAACATGGCATGATACTGATGCAAAGAATTCTTGTAAAAAGTTGTACCGATAATAAATATGTATAGTTATTCTGAATAGTACTTTTTATAAACAGTTTTATTGACCAACTTACATTTTATTACTATATACCGAATATAATAAATAACTTAACAACACAGTAACAACTATTTCGCTACAAATTCAATGTATGATTGTTTATTATTCTTGACTAGAACTTCCACTGTACTGATTCCCAGGAACTTCATTCAGACATGCAATATGTGTATTTAGTACCGTTTCGCAGTGTTGTGACTCATGATATATTGTATTGAAACTTAATGTAAATTCTATGCACATTTATAATCACAGTATGTAATGTATAAGTACAATCACGTTTATTTTAATACATATCTGCAAACCAATCGACGTCGAAGCCAAGGGGCATTTCTATTAGGTAATTGATGAAACAATTATTGTTTTTCGAAGTTCTACAAAGTATATATTATATGATCGGCATGCCTACTTGATGTGCAGCAAAATTACCGAAAATTAGACAATTATCTTAGCAGGAGAAATTAAAAATCACGTAGTTGAGTCCCGTAGTTCAACCATCTCTTTTTCTCCAATAATTTCTCTGTCTAAGAACTAAAGAAACTGCTACTTGACATACCAAATAAATTTATAAATAAATACTTGAGTAAACTGAAAGCTATGGATAAGAACTTTTACCAGTTTTGGCATAGATTCTATGAGTTTCTGGCAGTTGTCAGATATCCTTTCATCTCGATACCAAACCTGAATGGCCGCTTCTATCATTTTTGTTTTAGTGGTACAGTCGATTTTTCGCAGTCTAGCTTTGCAAATGGCCCATAAATTTTCAATGGGGTTGAGGTCGGGCGAATTACCGGGCCAATCTAAAACATTAATCTCCTTATTTTTGAAAAATGCCATCATTTCCTTTGATTTGTGACAGGGAGCAGAGTCCTGTTGAAGAATCGCTCCTCCTTGGGGTTGACATTTTTGGAGTTGTTTGTCCAAATACTTTTCCAACATGGATTTGTATTTTTGTCTGTTCATCATGCCTTCAATTGGCACCAAAGATCCAACCCCCATGTATGAAAAACATCCCCAAAACATTTTCTTGACTGGATGTTTTATGGTTTGATCAATATGAGATGGTGTAAGCTTTTCATTGTCAGACTTCCTGACGAATTTCGACCGCTGCCCCTGAACTATAAAGTGGGTTTCATCTGTAAATAGGACTTTTTTCCAGTCGCCTACAGTCCAGAGCCCACAGTAGCCTTTGTTTCTTCATTCGTTCAGTTAGAAGCTGTTTTTTCTGTGGACGAATTGCCCTTCTACCATTCTCCAAAAGTCTTCTACAAACAGTTGAGTCATGAATCACTATAGCTGATGCTGCTAGATCTTGTTGTAGGTCTTGGCTTGATTTTCTTGAGTTCAATTTGCTCTTTCGAAGTAAAAATCTATCATCTGCTGGTGTTGTTTTTCTCTTTTTTCCACATTTTCCTAACCTTTTCACATCCACTGATCCCGTTTCTCGTTTACGCTTTAAAATTTTGCTTACTACCCCCTGACTCACTCCACACGTTCAAGCAATCTCTCTTTGTGACATACTAGTGTGTTCACTCAACGTGACAATCTTTTCACGCTTCCTAGGCGTAATATCCATGTTGAAATAAAACCAAAAACAACACAAAATAGTACAAAAACCCCCAAAATAACACAAGCTTGGTAAGAAATGACCTAAAACACACTCAAACACACCAACACACAGTAAGGTTATGTTTTCAATGCTTGGTCAGCTGTCAACTGTGTAGGTAGTGTTGCCAACTGTGAATATTGAAAAAATGAAAAAAAAATTCACAGTGATTCCATTAATTCGCACAATACTGTATATAATGATGAATTTATAGATTTTAATCTTCGGTTTTCTTCTTCGATGTGTAGTTTTTTTCTATATATAGAATTGATTTAACGCCGCACTCGAATCTAAATATTTATTAATTATTTATTATTATTATTTATTATCTAATTAATTAATTCCCTTGATATTCAGTTTGTGTCTATATTTACGTAGTAAAATTATATCATAAAAATTACTTTTTTTTTATTTTTCAGATATGATCAACTAGTCCCCAATCACAAAAATGACACCAAATTGGTCGGAACTTCTAATATTCTTAATTTTCATTCTACAAATCACAACAAATGCTACAGAAGATTTGCTAGATCAATACGTCAAACATGTGGAAAGTGTAAATAGTATAAATTATAATTTAGATAAAAGGTATAATAAAAAGTATCATCATCCGAAAAGCAGAAGAAAACTTCACGGATTTAACGATATTGATGAACATTTTAAAGAAAGTCAGGAAGACACCATATTCTTTGATTTGCTTGACAGTTTTCCAAGCGAAAAAAGCGGCTCTAAACAGCCTGAAAATGATAGACATTTTCTAAGAAAACTTAGTAGTGTAGATAGTGTACCAGAAAGTTCAGATATAGAAGATTTTGATTTACTATCTGATATAGACGAAGAATCCAGGCATAGAGAAAAAAGAGATGCTTCGAATGACATTGTTTGGACTCATTCGGAAACGTTGGATAGAGAAGGTCGAATAATATTGAGATGGCAACCTAGGCATCAGGAAATATTATTCAGAGTGGAGGCTAAAACTAGGGGATATATTGGATTGGGATTTAGCTCCGATGGGAAGATGGAGAAAGCTGATATTATTCTTGGATGGGTGGACGACAAGACTGGAGTTGCGGTATTAATGGTAGGTTATTATTTTTTATTTTATTTAAAATTAAGGCGAATCAATCTATGTGGTTATTACAATTTTTTTACATTTTTGGATACTTAATGTATACCGATTTTGACATACATAAATCTAAGTTAAACTAAGTACATTGGTTAATAGAAGCATTGACTATTACACATTTATTTGTACAAGCACTGATGTTTATATTTGGTTGTATATTCCTATTGATTTTAGAAAATTTGAAACTGACGAAACTGCATGCATTTCAGATAGTCGTGGTTGTGTGCCATCATTATCTGATCGTCTGCGAAACACAGCGTATGTAGGGTTTTCTATCTATCTATCTAATTAGCCTTCTTCGGTCCATCTTTGGACACAGGCCTCCCCAATCCTTTCCCATTCTTCTCTGTCTGTCGCTACAGTCATCCATCTAGAGCCCACGTGCTTCTTGATATCATCTGCCCATCTCATTTGGGGCCTTCCTCTGCTTCGTTTATATTCCCACGGTCTCCAACTTATAAGAATTTTGTTCCATCGGTCTTCTTTTTGTCTTATATTGTGTCTGGCAAATCTCCATTTTAATTTTGCAACTTCTTGTCTAACATCCCTCATTTTTGTTTTCTCTATTATCCACTCGTTTCTCTTCTTATCCATTAGTCTTATGTGCAACATTTGTCTTTCCATTGCTCTTTGGGTTTTTATGATTTTGTCCATGTTTGCTTTTGTAAATGTCCACGTTTGGTAGCCATACGTAAGAACAGGGAGTACGCATTGATTATATACTTTGGTCTTAAGATGCTGTGGATATCTTTTGTTTTTAAGAATGTAGCTTAGCTTGCCAAATGCCGCCCATGCCAATCTAACTCGTCTCTTAATCTCTGCTGTTTGGTTCTCTTTGTTAAGTTTTATAGTTTGACATATATATAATCCTTAACTTGTTCTATTTCATCTTGTCCGATTCTCATTGTGATGTCTTCATCTGTATTTGTTATAGTTTTGGTCTTGCTCTAATTCATATTAAGGCCTATCTTTCCAGCTTCTACGTCCAGTTCTTTCATCATTTCAAATAATTCTTCTTTTTTATCGGTTATCAATACGATGTCATCAGCGTACCTTAGATGGTTCAAGCGTTGTTCACAAATTTTTATACCTTTTTTTTCCCATTCTAATCTTTTAAAAGTATCTTCAAGAGCCTGATTGAAAAGTTTAGGTGATATTGTATCACCCTGTCTCACGCCTCTGCTTATTTGTAATGATTTTGTTCCTTCATATACTTTAATTGTTGTTTTGGCTTCCTTATATATATATTGGTTATTAGTTCCGTATATCTGTGGTCAATTCGGCTGTTAATCAAAGAACTTTTCACTGCCCAATGTTCGACACTGTCGAAAAGGGGATGTAGGGTTTTATTGTTGTTTAATATGTAATTGTTCATTCCTTCACATTTTCTTTTTCATAACTTTCATAGCTATATTTTAAAAAATCAATGGTGGGATGCAACAATCCTATTTTATGCCATTACTTACCTTGATGTTTTCTGAGAGTTTATTCCCCGTTTTTACTCGAGCTTGCGCATTATATAGTTCTAACAATAAAACAGTGCACATAAAAAAGTAAAGAATAATACCAGCTTTTAGACCAAACAAAAACTTAGGCAAATATACTAACAACAATAAGAGCCAAAACAAAAAGGAATTACACAGCGGTGTATACAAACTTGAATGTGGCGACTGCCCAAAAACTTACATCGGTCAAACTGGTAGAACTTGTATCAAACGTATAGCAGAACATAAAAGGGCTTTCAATAATACATAAACAGATTCTAAGTACCCACTTTTTCAAATTCTTCACATTCCAAATAAAGGCCTTAAGCTATCTTTATTATTGATTAAGCTATATTAACAGCTGTAGTGATAATAGTTTAAAATAAATTTTGTGGAAGTGTTAAAAACAAAAATTTTCAGTGTTTTATTGTTAGATAAAATAAATGTCTATTAAGTAACGGTCGAATCCATCACTTATTATAGTTTTTTAATTACCTTTATAATGTCAATATTACTCAATTTTAAGGCTTTCTAGAGTCATTTAAGGGGGACACTATCGTAAGCTTTTTTTTAAGATCGACGTATAGTAAATGTATTTCTTGGTTCCTAGCGATTCCTTTTTCTATTAGTTGCTTAAAGCAAAATAAGTGGTCCATCGTCGATCTTCCGGCTCTAAAACTTGCCTTCTCTTCTGCTTCTATATGTTTGTACTCGATTAAATTTAATATAATTTATAAGTAAATCTTGACGTACATAAGTTCCACTTTTGCATTTTTAACGTAATTCTTATATCATTATTGCAAAGTATACCGCATAATAGCTCCAATGACATCCTAAGGCTAAAGGCGTTCATCTAGAAATTTAAAATAATACATAATTTCTGTAAACTATTTTTAACTGCTTTTTTTGTGTATGGTAATTTGCCCCATTCAGAGCGGCATATATCCAACTATTGAGCAATACCACATATAAATCACCTAAATTTTTATTTCGGGCATTTTACTGTTAACGCCTCTGTTCACCGGAAGCCACCGTTATTATAGTTGTCATTAAAACTGAATTCGTAAAACGAAATGGATCATCAGATCTTGAAATAATTTGAGACTATTGGAAAGATAATGAATAATAAATTAATTTTCAATATATTACAAAATTGGACACTTATTTACTTTGATTAATTAGCCTCCCAAAAATAGACGGATATAGAATTTTGTTATGGGTTTATTAAAATTCGAATTTTTCCCTGCTTGAAGTTTAAGTTAAGCAATTTTTATGCTGTGTTGAGTCTGTTGATTCGGGAAATATGCAGAAGAATTAAAAGTGCTGACAAAACACATATATGATACTCTTTTATATGGGACAGAGGAGAGGCATAATCATAAGTGCTATAAGAAGGTTGAAGTCCTTCAAAATGTGGGTGTTAAAAATACCAAGGATAGACCATGCTATTATCAAGACAATATTGCGTAAAATGACCCATACCAGAGAAGTTCTTAACATTATGAAGAAGCGCAAAAGCAGTTTATCTAGAAAATGTGTGCTGGGGAAGACATTCTGAGCTCTTGAGGTTGTTGATGAAGGCAAAAATTAAAGGAAGTAGAGTTTGAGGTCGGCGGAGGGGTTGGAGTAGGGATCGGCGCGGGGATTAGCGCGAGAGTTGGCTCGAACTTTTCTGACAGTAGGATTTTGATTGACTGGTGGAGCAGACGATATTTTTTTATGAGAGGTCTCCAAGTCGAAAGTAACCGTAAGCCGTCATCTCTTTTTTAAGACAATTTAGTCTTTTTTCAATTTCTATGGCTTTTCGGATAATTCTTGGTTTATAGAAGCGGATGGGGATTATGGTTCTGGAGTTATCAAAATCAATTTTGTGACCTGTATAAAGATGCTGTTGACCTAGAGCTGAAATTAAGTCGGAATTGCGAACAGAAATGGAATGTTCATAAATCCTATTTTGGATTCTATGATATGTTTGGCCCAAACATATATAGAATCGGCAGCAGTCTCCACAAGGAATTTCATAAACTCCGTGTTTTTGGAATATTGTCTTTGATTGATCGGACAAGAGATGTGGGGGGTAAATATTGTTTTTATTCCTCTTGGTTTAAGAATTTTGTCAATTTTGTCAGTGACACCTTTGATGTAAGGAAGAAAAGCTTTCGTATGATAAGGGTTTGAGTCTTTGGATTGAGATGAGTGGGAGATTGATGTCTGTAAATACTCCTATAGGTGTGACTTTAATGGTAGCAGTTTTGATGAGGTCTTGTTTTAAACTAGAGAGCTCAGCGGGCCTACTTGCATCTTCGCAAATGCGTATGGAACTGCAGACAAGCGTATTAATGACTAAATTAATTTGTAAATAGGAATGATGAGAGTTGGCATGCAAGTTACGATTGGTATGGGTGGGTTTTCGATAAACATAGTGATGAAAACCTTGGGATTAGTTTTTCTTTATGATAACATCGAGAAACGGTAGGGATGAATCAGTTTCCACCTGCATCGTGAACTAGATGGTAGGATGTATACCATTCATATTCCTCTTATGCTGACCAATAAAATTCTTGCTAGCCAAATGCTTTTGCTGACGTATAAAGCCTATTTCGCCATGGGCTATATATTCAAATTACGAGATATACAGCGGAAAACAAAACTCTGAGTCTATAAAACAATAATGAGGCCCATAGTAAGTTATGGGTTTAGAATATGGGTCAACAAAGTAATCTGTTAATGCATTAGACGTGTTCGAAAAAAAAATGTAACGGATGAAACTGGGCCCAATCGAGAAAATTACAAACGCAAGAATGCAAGGAAAAATAGCTGTTAAAAGTTCAAAAAGAGATGCTAGAATGAAGTAGATGAGGATTCCAAAAATCTTTTAAATACACGTTTATGACAAAGAACAGCAATAGATCAAGATCTTTGGAGAAGCTTACTGAAGTGGGCCAAGGCCAACTTGGGCTGTAGTTCCATTGGATGGACGGATTGCATTCCAAAGTGTAATTAGTTATCATACAAGAATGTTTTTGATTTTTTATCTGTCGTTTGATTTTCTTCGTCAACAGTCACTGACGTTTTTTAAATTATTCTATGTTTTATTTACTCTGGACATTTGTTTTGTTTAATTTGTTACAAAACATCCGGATTTTTGGTTTCCTCATATCGAGTGATTTTCCTTATTATTTTTGTTTTCTAATTGTTAACACTCACTTTATGACTAGGTACTAAATAATTATAAGAGCTGATATCGATCCTTGGACAAATAAAATATATACCTGTATTTCATAAAATATATTTTAAATTTTCA